CATAGGGAGCTCCACCGAAGGTCCCAGTGTCACCGCCCGCATGCGTCAGCCACCACCCAGCACAGCCCTTGCTCCCTGCGTTTCACCCACCCAGTACAGCGCTTCGTGGCTCCATAGGGAGCATCGAAGAAGATTATTCATAATTGCGGCACTCACAACTGCATATGGTTGGGTCCTTCGCCAGGCTAACTCTTTTTCCTCTTCGGCTACTGGGCTCTCGCGCGGTTCTTCGCCCGCGGGGGTGGGTGGTGAGGAGGTGCTCCCGCTCGCGACGACCGAAAAGTGTAGAATGCATATACATTCACATACATATATATATATATATATATATACACACATCTATATACACAAATATATGTATGTATGTATCCATGCACATTAGTATGTACATGTATATGTATAAATCTATGTGTGCTAGTTTGCGTGTGTGTGTGTGTGCGCGTGTGTGTGTGTGGGTGTGGGTGCGTGTGGTTTGACTAAAAAAGAAGCAGGCCGTCAATCTATAGATCGTGCGTTTTCTGTCGACTCATTGAATCCGTAATACAGAACGTATCTGAAGGAGTTTTTTTTTCTCGGAACACGCCGTACTGAGGGTTCCTTGTTGGAAGAGGTTGAACAGTCATTCTTTTGAGTCTTTACCAGAGAAGTCTTTAGACTTATAGCGAGCCAGGAGTCATTCCTGAAGAGTCCGTCATACGATGCCACACCTTATACTGATCGAAAAGATCCTGAATGTCGGATCCTGCCTTGGAGAATCAGTATTGGCACTCTTTGATACGTAATCATTCTCAAGGAATCGTTACTAAGGAGTCTTAAGTAAGACGCGATTAATGCGGGCGAACTTGTACAGATTCTTTTCGAAGGAACCTTTTTTTCCAAGGATCCCATAACAAGGGATCATAGTCAAGTGGCTTAGCGAATGGCCCATACGATGTAGTCCTTACTCAGGAGCCCTTGTTGGACAGTGCTTCGTACAGAAACTTACCAGATAATTTGTGTGGAGGGATTCATAGTAAGCAACCCTTCCTGAATCACTCCGAACGACAGAACCTTCACTAGATAATCCGTCACGGAGAACCGTTTACATAACAACTCTTGGCTAAATAATCATTGCCGAAGAACCCATTACGAGCAATCATAATAACTCCTTCAGAAAAGATCCTTGTCGAAGGAAGTCCCTGAGGAACCCCTTTTGTAAGGTTTTTCATGTTATATATATATATATGTATAAATATAGATATATATAAAAAGTCAGTATTATTAGAATCGTGAATATCTGAGCGCCACCACTATTGAATCGTATTACTCGAATCGTAGTATTTGAATCGGACCATGAAGCTCTGTTAAGAATATGTGTTCGAGGTTCGGCGGCCGGCAAACATACTGATTCACATGTTTTGGTTTTACAGCTTTTTCTTGCTCCCCCTGCCAGTGAATCTACCCACTTGGGCGCGTACGTATCCACAACAAGTGACAAGCCAGAGCACACACAAAAGGAATAGCACGTGTGTTTGTTTAGTGTGTTTGTTGTCTCTCTGATTTGACAGATATGTCTTGTACCGTGTTTGCTGACAATCTTGGTTTGGCACGAGGTACCACGAGCAAGAGATATTGGAATATTTGTTGAGGATGCTTTGCTGGAGTGCTAGGGAGCCCCGAAGGAATTCGTTCTAAGGAATCCAGTCTAAGGAAACCGTACTTCCTGAACGCTACCAGGCTACAGGACTAAACCGCCAACAAGGTGCCGCGCGAGCGGGATCAGACCAGCAACCACTGTAGAAAGATGTGTGTCAGGTCCGAGGGCCAGCAGACACTGAACATGTCATGTTTTGTGTCGGTTGTTGTTTGTCTGGTTTTCGTGAGTCTATGTGTTTGACGCACGCAGTCTAACAAAAAAGATAAAGCATCTGAAACGCATGCTTTGTTATTGTGTGTTGCTGGCCCTCTGGCATGAAACACATGTCTTTAACAGCGCTTGCTGATTCATGGCGCGCGGTGCAAAGGAGACCAGGATCCTTTTCCAATAGACCTTTGCTGGGTAGTCCTTCGCACAGAGCCTTCCCGAGAACTTTTTGGCCGAGGAATATTTTGTCATGTAACCTTTTTCTGAATCATTCTGGACACAAGAGTCCCCATCGCAGAGTCCGTAACGAAAAACTCTTGACGAGCGAACTTCTTAACGAGGAACTGTTGCCCTTAAGCAGCCCGCGCTAAGAAATTCTTCTCTAAGGGATCCTTATTACTCGAGCGCCACCATGCTGAACGTCGAAAACCCCCCAAGCTCTGCCGCACGAGGAGGCTTGGAGCATCAACCATTGTAGACACCATGTTTCCCAGGTCCGATTGCCAGCAAACACTGTACTTTTTTTCGGGGTGCAGATTTTCGTGGATGTATCTACTTGGGCACGCACAGGTCAACAAAACATGGAACACCTGAACATCATGTTTCTGCATGTGTTCGCTGGCCCTTTGGCATGGCACATTGTCTTTCACATGTTGTGCTGACCCTTTGGCTTGACACGAGGCGCCGCGAGCAAAATAGATCGGGGATGTAAGACTATGTTTGTGTGTCTTTCTATGCCTCTCTCTCTCTCTCTCTCTCTCTTCTCCCCCTTTTACCCACACAAGGACACTCCCAACACCCAGGCCTGCATGCCGTTTCCAGCCCCCTCTCATTCCCCTCCTCCTTTTTGCCCCCTGCCCCATGGAGGGAGGGAGGTGGGTCCATTTGAGGGTTCCCCGTTCCCTCCTCCTCCTCGTCCTCCTCCTCTCCTCTTCCTCTCCCTCCTCTAATGGCTGCCTTATGCCCCCTCCACTTCCCCACTGCTCCTCCTTTATCATTTTCCTTTAGGAGTGACGCCTCCCTCTCGCGCCCCCAGCCGTGTCGGTGGGATGGGCCGGGCACTTCTCTTGAGACGTCCGCACCATTTACACTGGGGGCCTGTGCCAAGAAACACCCTGCTTGCCTCCAAGGTGCCCTGGGTATCTTTGGTTTCGATGGTTTTGCAATGTAAAGCGTGACGTTCCCACATCAATGGGCGTCCTGGGGTCTCAGGACTGGGCTTCTTGTGGAAGGTTTCTTGTGGACTGGCTTCCACTGTAGGTTCCTGCTTTGGGAAATTTGCGATAGCTTTTTAAACGGAGTTCTTATCTTAGCGCCGGGCGTGTTCGTCTGAACAGCTTGCAGCAGCTTCAATGATGGAGGGTGGCACGTTTTCAAAATTCAGTTATCGCCGAAGCGCACCGCGCATTCGTCTCACATTTTCCAGCCGTTCTGAGGACTGAGGGCGGGCAGCTTCCAAAGTGGAGTCATTGTTCCAGCGCCGCGAGTATTCGCCGCACAAGTTTGCAGCATGTTCAATGATGTAGGGCGGCTTGTTTTCAAAATGTAGTTTTCTCCGCTTCTAATATGCTATAGCCGCTTCAAGGATGGATGGCGTGCATTTTCAAAATGCAGCTTTTGCCCTATCGCCGCGCACAGTCTTGTTGAACTTTTGTAACAATTTCAATGGTGGAGGGCGGCTCTTTTTCAAAATGGTGCTCTCGCCTTAGCGCCGCGCACCTTTATTTTAAACGTTTAAAACAACCTCCAGAAATGGTGGTCGGAGCCTTTTCAACGTTGGGCGCTTGATTGCGACTTTTTGAAACACAACAGCTGACGGGTGAAAGGCGCTTCTGTTTCTATCCGGAAAGGGTTTTGCCCTTAGCCGCCAGCCCCGTTGCTATCATACTGGGACGTGTCAGAGCTACTTATGTCGAGATGCCTGGGCGCCGACTTGAAGCAATATCGGAGTCTCTTGCGAGGGCGGCTTGTAATCATCACGTCATTTACAGGGGATCTTGGCCTCGGCAGAGCGAATCTGGAGTAATTTGCAAAGGATCGTCGCCCCAGGTGCGCCAATCTGGCGTAACTTAAGGAGGATTGCGGCTTCGAGGGAGCAAGCCTGGTGCAATTTACGAAGTATTCTGGCCTGGGGGGGCGCGGATCTGGACTGGAGTAGGGATTCTGGCCTCGCGTGCGCGAGCCCAGCGTAGATTGCAAGACGCACGAGGTTTACGACCCGAGGATTGTGGCCTCGGGAGCGCGAACCAGGTGCAATAAAAAAACATTTGAGCCTTAGGAGCGCGAGTGCCAAGCAATTTGCGAGGGGTTCTGGCCTCGGGATCGCGAGTCTGTTATGCTTTACAAGCGGTTCTGGCTTCGGCAGCGCGACTTCGGCGTATTTTTCAAAAGATTTCGGGGATTGTACAATCTGAGTCATGCGTGATCTGCGGGGGATGATTGCTGCTGGAGCGCGAATATCATGTACGGATGTGTATGTGTATGTGTAGGATTACGGGTGTATATATATACACACACACACATGTCATGTCCCAGCGCCCGCTTGGGAATTTTGAGAACCGGGGGACTGGCAAACAGCTGATTTTCGGTTCCCCCCCTCGCGCGGACAGCAGCAACTTACAGTATGAAGCGTATTGTAGTACCAAACGTTGGCACTGGAAACTGGAACTAGAGCATGCAGCAGGAAACCTCCCCCGCGCAGCATGGTGGCCCCATAGGGGTGCCGGTGGATTTTGGGCGTTTGCTTGGCATGTCTTCAGTTTGACCAGATAAAATGACAGATGTTACAGCTGAACGGATGAAGGGCGGTTCGTTGTCAAAGTGGGGAAGACGCTTGAGACTCACTCGATGCTCATGGCAACGATTGCACAGGTGGGAGCGGTTCTCTCTCAAAACGGAGATATCGATGGAAACCTCGTTGAACTGTATGATCACACACTCGCTGGAAGAGTGAAGGCAGTGACTTCCTTTCAAACACGGGGGGGCGTGCCTGAATGGTAAGCCCATGGGACGCTCGTCTTTCAAGGACGCGCCTTTTGAAGTGTAGAGGGAGCTGTTTATGGACTAATGAGGGCAGCATCGTTGATGCTTCTTGGGTTTGCTCTGGTCCTCCTCCTCGCTCCTGCAGGAATGGGGGGGAGGTGGGGCCGCCCGAGAGGTACTACGAGTGGAGAGAGCTCGGCCTGACGCACGGCGGCGGCGCGGAGGAGTCTGGCTCTGGAGGCGGGGCTGGGACGCGATCTCCTTCCCTGGAGCCTCCTCGCTGCTTCTTCCTCCCCCCCCTCTTTCTCATCCCTCCTCCCTCCTTGGTCTTCCTATACCAATTGTACAGAAGACAGCTGGACAGAGAGTTGATGTGTATTCGAGCTCCGCAAATGCGCATGCCGACGTTCAGCAGCAGCTTCCGTCCTCCCTCCTCCATCCTCCCTGCTCGCTCCCTCCTCCCTGTTCCCTGCTCCCTCCTCCTCCTCCTTCCGCGCCGCGCACATTCGTTTAAAAGGTGTGTAGCAGCTTCCAGGATGTAGGGCGGTTCCTGTTCAAAGGGTTGCTCTCACCTTAGCGCCGCGCACATTTGCCGTAAACGCTTACAACCGTTTCAAGGATGGAGGGCGGTTCCTTTTCAACATGTGGTTCTCGCCTCATCGTCGTGCGCAAGTGTTTTAAACGTCTGCAAGAGTTTTGGTGGCTCGTACGGTTGAAGTCCCACGACTTATGCTGCGGCATGGCTCGGAATTGATCGAATGCAAAAGTCATGTTGGTTCGTATGGTTGAAGTCCTAAGAATGGTGTACTGGCGCGGCATAGGATTGCCAGGGCGCAACAGTCACGTTTATTTGAGGCGTTGAAGTCCCAGGACTGGTGTCCTGGCATGGTTGAGGGCTCTCAGACGGTTGCCTTCCAATGGGCCACTTCCTGGAACGCCACCTTGAGGCCTCAAAAGCGCATCGCAAGCGACACGGTGAGAAGGCAATCATCACTGACTTGCCTTGGGTGTTTCAAGGCTGTTGGCCTCTTGGGGGTCTTGATGAGGGCTCCGGGAACACTTGGAATAGTCTTGTGGCCCTTGTCAGGTCTCTTGGAGGTATGGTGGAAGTGGAAGTTTTCTTGAGCCATCGTCTGCTATCTTGAGCCATCTTGGAGGCCATCTTGGAGCGTCGGGGGTCACTTGGATCCATCTTGGGCGCCCTGACCGATACACGCCCTCCCAAAACGAACACCTCAGGGAAGAGGGGGAATAGGTTTGTTGAAAGAGGACAGGCATAATTCGCTACACCATCTGAACCCAAAGTGCTGGCAAGGTTCTTGCAGGGGTAACGAAGAGGGAACTAGGAGGGAGGGTTTATTGCGACATCGGTGATGCGTCTAGGTCCTCCTCCTTCTCCTCGTCGCGCGAATCAGAGTGCGATGCGGTGCACCACAGAACGGGGTATTACGTTTTTCTCCACCTCTTCGCTCTCTTGTTCGCGCACGCGAGCGCCGATGGGGTAGGGGGAGGAGGAGGGGGAGGAGGAGGATGAGGAGGAGGAGGAGGAGGAGGAGAAGGAGGGGCGGGCACAGGAGGCCCCACTCCTGGCACCCCCTTCCCCTCCTCGCACCTCTTACCTCCCTGACCTCGCTCCCCCTTCCCCTCCTCGCTCGTCCTCTTCATTATCCTCCTCGTTCTGGTGTTGCCTCAGCAGCGAGTGATATAATGGGGCTCCACTTCATGTGAGAAAGGGTGATCCTGAAGCCTCGCATGCGAAAACACGATGCCGCCAGCGCGCCGTGCCGTGCCGTGCCGCGCCGTGGTGAGCAAAAAGGTGCCGTGCCGTTCCACGCCTGCAGGCCGTTTACGAGGGGCGATTATGAAACCCATGTAGTCGGGGCGCTGTAGTTGGGGAGGGGCTCCGTGTTCCTTAATTGTTTCACGGCTTGCCTCAGGTTTGCCTCAGGTCTTCGATTCGGCGAGGAATCGAAGCTTAACTTATGGGGAAAAGGGGCCTCGTTCCTCATTCAGATTTCGGATTCCTTAGGTCAACGCCCCGACTGTAGTGCAACAAAAAGGTGTCGCCGGCTTTGCCCTGCCGTGCTGTGCCCCGTGAAGTGCCCGCGACATGCCCGAATCTTCTGGAGTGCGGGAGAAGGGGTTCAGGAGGGAACAAAACCACACACAGACAGCTTGAATCGTCGATTCCCAGGAATATATGCGAAACTATGGGAAGTGGGGGGGAGACGAAAATCCCCAAAATATGGAAACATATGGGGGATCCTGGGATCTGTGTGTATTTCTTTGTGTGTGTCCCTGGGCCCCTTCAGAGGTGCCGTGCCGTGCCGTGCGCGTGCCCGCTTGGCGTGCCGTGCTAGCGTGCCGCGCCGTGCCAGAATCCGACGAAGGGGTTGTGGGCGGCGTCTCGCCGCCGAGGAAAAGGTGTTTTTCTTCGACCATTGGATTTAAGTCGGGCCTGTCCCTCTACAGGAGGAGTAAAAAAATAGAAAAAAAGAGCCTGGGGACTATTTTTAAAAATGTATGTGTTTATTATGGTTGCGCATTTTGTCATGTTTCTCATTTTCGCCCAAAATCCACCTGTAGGGGGACATGCCCGACCTAACGTGCGACGATAGGGGCGAATAGCCCAGGGGCGGGCATTACACGCGTTCGCCCGGGAGCCCTTCCGATGACATGGATCATCGGCGCACCTGAATGCATGTATTGCTCTCCCCTGGGCTATTCGCTCCTGTCGTCGCCTCTGAGTAGGGGAACGAAGGGTGACAGAAACATAAGAACTCGGAGGTCCGCGCGGATTTCTCGGATCCGCGCTGGAGCCCCCTGGCGGCGCCTCCGGCGCCGGCCCTGGCGAGCTCCGCGCGCCAGGGAGGGGGGTCCAGCGCCGATCCGAGAAATGCGCGCGGACCTCAGAGTTTTTGTGTTTATGCCACCCTTCGTTCCCTTAATTCAGGGTCTCCTGGGAGCCATCTTGGGTATTCTCGAAGGCTCTGGGAACCGTCTTGAAGTGATCTCTGGACATCTCGGGAGCAACACGAGGGACGACCACCATCGCTTTTTACAGTGCATTGTTCTTCCTCTCGGGGGCGTCTCGAGGCCCTCATGTGGCATCTGAAAGGCAACATGGGGACGTATTCGGCGGTCTGGGATATTGAGGCCTTCTTTGGAGCTTCCCAGGGCCGTCTTCGAGGGGCCTCTTGGGCTCTCGTGGCCCGTGCGGTGGTGTCCCAACGGGAGTTCTGGGGAAATCTAGAGCGGGCAGACATTGATGGGACCCCATTCCCTTTCGGTGGGAGCGTTCGTTAGGGAATGTGCCCAGGAGGCGTCAGACCCTGGAGGATTCCTCGTCTGATGAGGGCCGCAGCGCTTTCCACTGTCAATCCACAGTTGGAGTTCCAACCGCTTCCAGACCCTGGATTCCTTAGTTAACGGTTCATCATCATCCAATCGCCTCACCGTGATTTCTTGTTGACGCCGCGGATCCCCGTGGTACACAGTAGAAACAAGACAGCGTTGGAGAGACAATAGGTATCATCAAAGCCAGGAGGCAGCAAAGTCCAGCAGCAACCTTCACAGCCTGGCGGCCTCGATCGGATGTTGCCAGGATTGCCCCTGGCCCAGGGTGCTCCCAGGATTCCCAAAGGGAGTTCCCCACGGCCTCCAGAGTACCCCTCACGAGGCCCGGAGGGCTCCCGGGGCTCCAGCGTTGAGTGGAAAGCCTGGTGTTCTTTGGGCAATGGGGCACCTTTGCAGCAACCCCCGGCCCCAGGCGGCCAGCGGAGTACGCAGACGTGGGCCTGTTCGCGCGTCACGGTGTCCGCGCGAACGGGGCTCGGGCGATCGGGTCTGGCCGATCCCTAGCAGCTTGAAACATAACTCGATCCCTATGCTTGGCATCACCTTACATCGGTCCCGATCTCAAGGATTCCCTTAGTTTCTGAGGGCGCATCCCTGAGATTGTCATCGCCTTGGGGTTGCCGATCTTGGGCATGGGGGTCAGTTTTCGAGGCTGGTTCGGCACGGATCTGGGAGCCACGCGGGGCCGACCCCCTTGTCCCGACCCTCCTTCGCCGACCTCGGCCTGAGAGCAGCTGTACGGCCAGCTTGGGTGTAGCAGCGTGGCCTGGCCTGGGTCCAGCGCCCCCGCATGGAGGAGGCCATGCGCGGAAGTCGCGCGGTTTTCTCCTAGCCGGGCAGTTCTTGCATGGTGGGGACCCTTCCCATCAGTTGGGGAGCTGACCGTTTTCTGCATCCGAGCTGCACCTCGTTGCCTTTCCTCGCCCTCTGTCTCCTCAGGGGGAGAATCAAGCTTCCTCCTTGCGATCCGACATTGCAACAAAAAACCTGCATCATAGTAAGAATCACGACCGAAGCGCTAGCCACATCTGCGGCACTGTTCGAGCTGGATCGATCCGTGATTGCCCCTTGCCCCCGGGGCCGACAGAAGACGAAATCGCTCGCTGTGTAACACATGTTACGCCAAGCTCTCAGGGTTTGGAGCTCCGCGGCCGATTGGCAGGGCCCGACGGTTTGTGTGCATGCCCTCTCCCACTTCCTTCCTCTCCTCATCCGTTGCCCCATCGTCTCAGATGTTGATACTGAGATTCTCACCGCCTCAGAAGACAAGCCCTGTATCGTCTTCATCCTTCCAGTCTCCGGTGGGGTAGCTACGGTGGGGGCGTCCGTTAAGGAGTGTGCCCAGAAGGCTTCAGACCCTGGAGGATTCTTCATCAGATGAGGGCGGGAATTCCATGGCAAGCCTCAATTGGTGTTCCACTGGCTTCAGACCCTGGGTTCCTTATCCAAGGTGTTTTAGGTTTGTTTTGTATTATTGTAGGTTTTTTAAATTACTCGTTTTTTTATGTTTAGGATTTCTGTTTGATATTGTTTTTTGTGTGAAGTTTGTTTTCTGTTACTCGCGGCCACCTGGGCCAGGCACGGCGGGCGGGGACTTCCACTTCGACTACGCGTCGCTCGAGTATCTGGCGACCAGCGCTCCCCTCGCGCGCGGAGGGAGCCTGCACGCACCAGAAACGAGGGTCGCCGAGGACGACGATGGTGATGCCGAGTGGTGGTGGTGGTGGTGATGACGAGGATGAGGATGCTCGTGATGGTCTTTGTGATGATGGTGGTGATGGTTGCAATCATGATGAGGATGGTCATGGTGGGGAGAGGAGTCAGCCGTGGTCAGGATGCTGGCAATGACGTAAGCGGAGCACTGGGAGGAGCGACATAAGCAGGAGGAGACTATCGATCAGGCGAATGGAGACCAACCGTGAATGCAGAAGACAAAGAAGATGATGCTGATGATGAGGAGGAGGAGGAGGATGATGATGGTTATGGTGTGATGATATGATTGTGACGATGGCGATGGCGATGGCGATGCAAGCGATGATGATGATGATGATGATGATGATGATGATGATGATGATGATGATGATGATGATGATGATGCTGATGCTGGTGATGGTGATGATGATGCTGATGATGATGGTGATGCTCCGTGTGGTGGCGGTGCTGCTGATGATGATGCAGATGATGAGGATGATGATGTTGCGGATGTTGATGATGTTGATGATGCTGATGATGATGATGATGATGATGATGATGCTGATGATGATGTTGATGAGGTTGTTGATGCTGTTGTTCAAGAAGACGATGGTGACGATGTTGTTGGTGACGATGGTGGTGGTGGTGGTGGTACTGATAGTTATGATGATATGTATGATGCTGATGGTGCTGATGATTAGGACTGTGCTGCTGATTATGCTGATGCGGATGCGGATGCTGCTGACGACAACGGCAACGACGACGATGATTACGATGGTGATAGCGACGATGAGGATGAGGATGAGGGTGGGGTTGGTGATGATTTTGATGTTGATCATACTGATGGTGATGATCATGGCGATGATGTTGGTGATGATGATGGTGATGATGATGCTGATGATGATGATCACGACGATGCTGCTGCCGCTGATGATGCTGCTGGTTTTGATGATGATGCTGATGATGATGGTGATGATCATCAGCATCATTGTCGTCATGGTCATGTCCTGATCATGATCATGGGGAGGAGGAGGAGGCCCCAGCTGATGATGTGAATGAGTCGAGATATGGAGGCGGAAGGGAGAGAGGGAGAGAGAGAGAGAGAGAGAGAGAAAGAGAGAGACAGAGAAGAGGAAGACGAGAGGGAGGAGAGAGAACGTATGAGGGAGGAGGGGGCAAGGCGAACGGGGGAGACGGGGGAGAAGGGGGAGGGATGCGATGGGGGGAGGGAGACGGGGGAAGAGGAGATGAGGTGATCAGGGAAGCGGGAGGATAGGATGAGGAGGGATGAGAAGGGAGAGGAATTACAAGGTGATGGATGGGTACGGAGACATGCGCTTGGAGCGGTTCGTGATGGTCCCCGCGATACTAGTTGTAGCAGGAGGAGGAAGAGGAAGCGGACGGATGGGGTATGGTGGAGGAGGAGGAGGAGGAGGAGGAGGGACGAGGGGGACCGAGAGATGGACAAGGGAAGGGGGGTTGGGAGGGGCAGGGAGGCAGGGAGGGAGGGGGAGGGGCGAGGGGGGGAGGGGGGAAGAGGGAGGGGTGATATGGGGGAGGAGAGGAGAGGCTCGCAGGCAGAGCCGGGGGAGGGAGGGCGCGGACCCGAGGTGACGCTGTGCCTGCAGCTCTCCAGGACGAAGGAGGCCATGAGGATCTATCGGGACTTCGAGCGGCAGGCGCCCAGCTCGACTTGCCCTGCTCTTCGCCTGGCCTGCTTTGGCGGCCGCTCCCGGCCTCTCTCCGGAGCTTCGTGGTAAGGGTCTCTGTTGCGTCGGCTGTCACGGTCCTTTCGAGAGAAGATAGAAGCCCCCTTGGGATGTACCGATTCACCCTTGCACTGCACACATTACATGTGAGTCTGCCTCATCGGGTATTTTCCACATGAGTTCAGGCCATCTCAGCCAGACCAGTATCGTATGGACCCCCCCTCGACCCTGCAATGCCCGCGCACTCATCCTTTGCATCACCCTTTGCATACTATGACGCCAGGTCCGCACGCGCGCTCACATGTTAAAACCATACGAACCACACATTAGTACTGCAAGGGTCTTAACATAATAACGCTACGTTTGCCATCACACTTACTGCACACCTCTTGCGTTATCAAGTAGGACCGTGCGGACCACACGCGCGCTCCGCAACGCGAGCGAGCCGAAATTCGTCCAGCACCGATTGTTTCTGAAGCCTTCCAACGCGGATTTTTCATCAACGCATGAGCAGCTACATGTCACACAAGTTAGATAGGGTTTTTGGGTTTCCGCGGGTGCGCACCTCCTAACCATCACTCTCATCAGCACCCCCACATCACGTCATCGTCATCGACAATCGCCGCCATTGCCGCCGACAACATTCAAATATTTTCATCATCGACCCATTGACGCCATCAACATCGTCATCGGCGTTACCAACATCGGCGCCGTCATGTGCCCTGCAGCCGTCATCGTCATCATCGCCACCACCCTCGCTATGATCAGCATCGTTGCCGCCGTTGTTGGCATCATCATGATTCCGTGCCCGCCCGAGTCACCGACCCGCACCGGTGTGCCCGGCCGCCAGCGCGGCCTTAAAGACGCGCTGGGGAGTTCTCATCGGCCGGCGCCATGGCGGCCGCATCAGCTGTGCCACACCAGCTGGCCGCTCTTCGGGCGGGCTTGCGCGCGAAAGCGCGGCCGCAGAGATGCGCGAGCCAGGGCCAGGCCACTAACGCAATCGCGGCTGCTTGCGTTTTGCACATTAAGTTGCGGGTGGGAAAGTGGTATGCTTGCGCGAACAACAGATTTGATAACTCGCGGGTTGGCGTGAGTTGCTCCCTTTCAGAGTAATAGGCTCTTCCACCCTACTCCCCGGACTTCACAGTTCTCTTTGGGACACGACAGGTTTCGTATGTTTCTGCCTTCGAGCTTATTCGTATTGTTTTTTGTTGCAAACAGTTCATATGATCCCAGGCAGGCCAGATATTGTTCTCCCCTTAACCCTGTCAGATAATAGTATGCACGCGAAGTCGCCTACCGCAGAAACCGTTTGCAATAACTCATTGCGAAGGATGGCATCACGTCCATACGCGCGCACATGCCGAAACCATGCGAAACCCACCAGTTCCGCACGGACTGCAACATACAAACATCAAACAACCTTTCTAGTTGTTGCGTCACAGATCGTATACATTTCCTGCCCGGCGTACAGGTGCTGAAGTCGTTGGGAAACCATCTGATTGTAGCAATGCCGCCCAGAACCCGCGTTCTCATTTCACCACGCGGTACATCCGTGTTCATCCAGTATGCGTCCAGCACGCACATCCCTATCAAAGCATACCATGCGAGCCACGCACGCGCGCCGCTATGCGAGCGTGTCGAAATCTCTGAGAACCATTTGGTTTCGAAGCGTTTCGCTATAGAATTTTCGGCAATCGATGGAAAACCCAATGCTTTTCAACAGGAAGCTTGCCCAGGCGATTTGATGCCCGCGCGCGCATTTCCTAACCATCACCCTCATCAGCACGGCGTGCCACGTCACCGTCATCGGCAATCGCCGCCATCCCCGTTTCACTATTCAAATATTTCACCATCGATCCATGGACATCATCATCGTCTCCGGCGTTACCATTCTCGGCGCCGTCATTTGCCTTGCCGTCGTCATCGTCATTATCGCCACCACCCTCGCTACTATCATCATCGTAGCCGCCGTTGTCGACGTCATCGTGATACCACGCCCACCCTAAACACCGACCTGCACTGAAGTGCCCGCGCGCCAGCGCGACCTTTGACACGCGCTGGGGGGTTGCCACGGGTAAGCGCCATCGCGGCTGCATCGGCCGCGCCAAACCAGCTGGCCGCTTTGCGCGCGTGCCTGAGCGCACCAGCGCGGCCGCAGAGATGCGCCAACCATGGCCAAGCAGCCATCGAAGTGGCCGCATGGGTTCTGCAAGCAAATTGCGGGTGGGAGGATGAGGCTATTGCGGGAGAAGTACGGTTCACAACCCATGAGTCGGCAAACGTTACAAACATCGTACGTTTCCCCTCCCTCCTCTTCCCCTTCTCCAGCTCCCTCTTCTCCCCTCCCCTTCCATTTGATTCCCCCTCTTTCCCTTCCCCTCCTCCCTCGTCCCATCCTCCTCCACCTCCTCCTTCTTCTCCTCCTACCCCTTCTCCTCCCTCTCCTCCTCCTCCTCCTCCTCCTCCTCCTCCTCCGCCTCCTCCTCCTCCTCCCCACCATGAAGCGGCGACGGCCTCAATGGGGCCCCAAGTCTGGTTGGCCCTTCTCTGCCTCCCTTTCCCCTCCTCGTCCTCCTCCCCCTCCTCCTGCTCCCCGTCCTCCCCCTCCTCCAGCTCCTCACTCCCCCTCCTCCTCCGCCTCCTCCTCCGCCCCCTTCCTCCTCCCCCACCTCCCCTCCTCCTCCGCCTCCTCCGCCTCTCCCCCTCTGGACCTCCTCCTCTCCTCCTCCGCCCTTTCCTTCCCCCTCGTCTGTCCTCTGCCTTGGCCGCCTCCCGGATGGCCCCGCCCTCGTCCTGCGGAGGTGTTGCTGCCCGCCGGGCCGCCCGGCGGTGGGAGCACGGGGCTGCTGCGGCGCTCCCACGCGGGCGCCGCGCGCCCTCGCGGGGTGGGGGGAGGAGGATGAGGACGAGGAGGAGGAGGAGGCGGAGGAGGAGGAGGAGGCGGAGGAGGAGGAGGGGGAGGAGGAGGAGGAGGAATGCTATTAAGAATAATACTGCCAATTCTAAGGATACGAAGAGTCTAAATATAAATTATTGTGCGAGTCATACTAACACTGATCATGCCAATACTAGTACCACGAATACTAATAGTAATAAGACAACGCAAAGTTGTTGGACAGTCTTTGGCGCATTTGATGAAGGGGGTGGGCCCCTCCCCCAGGCAACGGTTCGGGAGGAGTTGGCCGGGGTCCTGCCCACGCCGCCCTGGCCAGGTCTCATCGTCCCTGGCGGGCTGCCTTCTTTGTCCATCCCGTTTCGCCTTCTTGCCCCTTCCCACAGCGTAGTGCGGCCCTCGGGAGCTGGACTGCTGCGCCAGAGAGTTGCAGGATCACTGGACGATGAGTGCGAGGAGGAGGAGGAGGATGCTGAGGAGGAGGAGGAAGAGCATGATGAGGAGGAGGAGCAGGAGGAGGAGGGAGCATAAGGAGGAGGAGGAGAGGAGGAGGAGGAGGAGGAGGAGGAGCAGGATGAGCAGGAGGAGGAGGATGATGAGGAGGAGGATAGTAAACGAGGGCAAGGAGGGCGAGGAGGAAGGCGAGGAATATGACAAGGAGGGCGAGGAGGAGAAGGACGAACCTGAGGAGGAGGAGGAGGAGAAACAAGAGCACGGGGTAAGAGAAGGGCGGGGAGGAGGATGAGGACGAGAACGATGCTGCTGATGGTGATAAGAACGATGATGATGATGATGTTGGTACTGATGATGATGGTGATGCTGATGATGATGGTGATGATGCTGATGATGATGCTTCTGCTGTCGATGATGACGACTGTGATGGCGATGATGATGAGGAGGCGGGAGAAGAGGAGGAGGAGGGGGAGGAGAGGCCAGGATATCGATGAGGGCGGACGAATCGGATGATGATGATGCTGCTGTTGATGATGAAGGTGTTGCTGCTGCTGATGATGCTGGCGATGATGATGATGATGATGATGATGATGATGATGATGATGATACTGATGATGATGATGATGATGATGATGATGATGATGCTGATGATGCTGGTGATGATGATGATGACGGTGATGATGCTGATGCTGGTGCTGGCGCTGATGCTGATGTTGATGATACTCATGAGGGAGAGGAGGAGGGCGAGGATGATTATGATGATGAGGACCATGCTGTTGACGATGATGATGCTGCGACGGTGATGGCCAATCGTGATGATGAGGATAAGGATGGGAATGCTGGTTACGAGGACGAGAATGAGGATGGCGATGGTGATGGTGATGTGGATGCTGATGCTGAGGCTGATGCTGATGCTGGTGCTGCTGCTGATGCGAATGCTGCTGTGCTGCAGATGCTGCTGTTGGTACTGGTGCTGCTGCTGCTGATGATGATGATGATGATGATGATGCTGATGCAGCTGCTGATGATGACGATGACGATGACGATGGTGATGCTGGTTCTGATGCTGGTGGTGATGAGGATGCTGATGATGAGTGAGGTTGTATGAGGATGACGATGATGCTGGTGATGATGCTGATGATTGTGATGACGGTGATGGTCGTGGTGTCGATTCTGCTGCTGACGATGACGATGATATTGCTGATAATGATGACGACGATGATGAATATGATGTTGCTGATGATGATACTGCTGATGATGGTTGTGATGGTGATGATGATGATGGTGGTGAGGGTGAGGATTGGCGATGCTGATGATGGTGGTGCTGGTGAGGCTGATGCGGATGCGGATGCGGATGCTGATGCTACCGCTGCTGTTGCTGCTGCTGCTGCTTCTGATTGTGATGCTGTTGCTGCTGCTGCTGCTGATGATGATGCTGCTGCTGCTGCTACTGCTGCTGATGATGGTGATGATGATGACGAGGATGAGGAGGGGGGGGCAGGAGAAGGAGGAATAGGAGGAGGAGGAGGAAGAGGAGGAGGAGGAGGACGAGGAGGAGGAGGAGATAGGAGGTGGTGGACGAGGAGGATGAGAACTTGAAGTGCTATGGCTTAAGGGGCGCCTTAACCCCATGTGGTATGGCCTGCGGCTATCTCCACCCCAGGGTTGACAGGGGGACCTGCGCTACAGCAGGCCACCCTAGGGGTGACAGGACGAATGGGACCTCCCCAGAGCCCAACAAGTTCTCGTTGGATCGAGAATATGCGTGTCAGACCTACGTGTCTAATGTAACTTGCTGTTTTGCATGGCACGGCACGCGCACTCCATGCGCGCGATCCCTTCCGCCAGAACTGTTTTAACAGTTCTAACGCTGGTTTGGGGGAAAACTGCTTTAACAGTTTTAACGCCTGCTGCGCCGCACCGTCCTCGTGACATTTGCAGCGCCTTGCGTGGCGTTGGGAATCAGCGAATGGGACGGTACGCCTAAAATCTTGGTAGTTGCAAGTTCCCGTGCTGACGATTTGTGGTCTTTGAGTGAGCAAGAGGTGCGTCCCTACTCTGGGGCGCGGTGCGGCATGGATTCACGGATACGCCGGTACACTCACAAGTAAGTCCAAAGTGGCGGCAACAAAGTGTGGTTCTTTTCCGCGCTGGTTCGGCCCATACGGAGGTTCGGGGTGAAGCACCTTATCCTGAGCGCGCCCGAACGTGAAGCAGGATCGTGACATTGTCCCCGCTGCGTGGCCGATAACTTGGGGGTGAGGTGTCGATGCTATCCCTCCTGACCTCACAACGACATGTTGGGTCCCACGAAGTGGGATCTGGATGTGTGCTTGGTCCACTCCAGGGGGACGCAACAAACAAGAACCAAAGCGCGCGCGCCTTGCGGATGACGGCAGGATTTGTCCGCCCCTGGGCGGCGGTTCAAGCTAGAATCCGAGCGTGCGCGGTTCTCATCTGTGTTGCTCCTGTGCGGGCTGCGTGGCCGACAACTTGGGGATGAGGTGTCGATGCTATCCCCCCTGACCTCACAACGACATGTTGGGTCCCACGAAGTGGGACCCCAGATGTGTGCTCGGTCCACCCCAGGGGGGCGGAAACAAGTTAGAACCAAAGTGCGCGCACCTTACCGAGGGGGGGGGGGCAGGATTAGTCCGCCCCTGGGCGGCGGTTCAAGCTAGAATCGAAACGTGGGCGGTTCTGGTATGTGGTGTTGCGTCTGTCCTGGCTGCGTGGCCGAAACTTGGGGGTGAGGTGTCGAAAGCTAAAATCCAAGCGTGCGCGGTTCTGAAATGTGGTGTTGCGTCTGTCCTGGCTGCGTGGCCGAATTTTTGTTGGGTGAAGTATTGATGCTATCCCCCTGACCTCATAACGACATGTTGGGTCCCACGAAGTGGGACCCGGATGTGTGCTTGGTCCACCCGAGGGGGACGCGACAAATTAGAACCAAAGCGCGCGCGCCTTGCCGATGGGGGCAGGATTTGTCCGCCCCTGAGCGGCGGTGCAAGCTAGAATCCGAGCGCGCGCGGTTCTGATATGTGGTGTTGCGTCCTGCGTCCTGATCGCTTGCGCCACATATTGCGCCCGAGCGTGAAGCAGGCCCGTGAGTCACGACAGCTTGCACCACGTATTGCGCTGGAGCGTGAAGCAGGACCCAGAGACACGATAGCTTGCACCACGTATGGTGTTGTTGATGTAGGCCTTGAGTTTGCGCTGGAGTTCATCGAGACCTTCGGAGTGGATCAAGTAATGAAATGTGCCATGCTCGTGTTGACAGTGATGGACGCGTGACGATGGGAGCGACAGGCACGTTTTTTTCTCTTGAGAGCGACCAGAGACTCAGAGGAGGGAGGAGGCAGGGAGGTACTCGCCCATGCGAAACGCAGGGCCAACCTTTGAGTTCGGGTGCTGCCCACGGATACAAAACGGTCCCAGGAGTACCGCGCTCCATTGGACGTGAGCTCCATGTGGCAATCCTTGCCGAGCCTCCTGAGTGCGCCTGTTTCCGAATATTCTCCTGAGTGCGCCGGTTTCCGAAAAATTACGCCCAACGGGTAACTGGAGATGTGCAGCGTGAGTTTCCGAGGGTTCGCTACCAGGTTGCTCAAAGGGGGCGCTGTGCCCCTGGCAAGGGGATATCGGAGGCAGCGTTGACAGCGCGAGCGCTTCCATGCCCAATCATGGCCTTCCACAGTTGCCGCGACGTCCGCTGTTGCTTCGGCTGGCGGGGGCGGCGGGGGAGGGGGAGGAGGTACGGGGGGTAACGGCAGGATTTACCGCGCGGCGCCAGTGCCAGTGACGAAGCCTGGCTGACGCAGAAGCCGCTTAAATGTGGACCGCAACGCCTTTGTAGGCACCAGCCTGGGGAACAACAGGAGCGCTTGGACCACATACTTCGGATATCAACGCAGAGATTCCGACTCCTGAATCCAAGCAGCGACCTCCGAGCCCGACGGCTGCGCTAAGGTGAGGGCCCCTTTCTTGGCGTAGCGGTCTGCAGAGTTGTTGCTGACCGCTTGCCACCACTCGAGGAGCAAATGTGGAAAGTCGTCAGGGCTCACATGGGCCGGAACCTTCAGGATCTGGAAATTGTGGGCCCACGAGGGCGAGCCTCGCATTTGAACGTGGAGCCCGGCATAGACGTGTTGTCACGCCGTAACTTGGGCCCACGGCGCGTTTGCCATCTTTACAAGGCTGAGGACATCTGAATAGATTAGCGTCGCACGCGGGCAACGCTACATCACTGCCAAAACGGCGATACGTTGTGAGGTTTGGGGATCGTCGGCTCCTACCGCACCCCACAACGCAGCGAATAGCACCCCTGCTGGCGCGATCTTCAATACAGCCCAGCCGGCTGCATGGAAGGTCACGGGGCCGTCCTTAAAAGCAGGAGGAGGAGAGGGAGAACGAGGAGGATGATGATGAGGAGGATGAGGAGGAGAAGGAGGAGGAGGAGGAGGAGGGCGAGAAGAGCAAGCAGGACGAGCACGACGCCAACCGAGGAGCCCCGCGGCGCGCCCCAGGCGTCTACGCGCGCCTGCAGCTCGCGCTCGCCAGGACCCGGATGCTGTCCGGGCAGCTCCCGGCTGCCCGACGCGCCTTAGCCAGAGTGGCGAAGGCCCATTCCTCCTCCATTTCCTCCTTGTCCGCGTCCTTCTCCTTTTTCTTGTCCGCGTTCTCCTTCTCCTCCCCTTCCTCCTCCTCCTCCTCCTCATCGTCCGCGTCCTCCTCCTCCTCGTCGTCCGCGTCCTCCTCCTCCTCCTCCTCGTCGTCGTCCTGCTCCTCCTCCTCCTTCTCCTCCCTCTCTTCCTCCTCTTCGTCCTTTTCCGCACTTTTCGCTCTTCTCGTCGTCCTCCCCCTCCCCCTGGTCTTCTTCTTGTTGTTAGTAATAGTATTTGTTTTCCTCTTCCTCTTCCTCCTCCTCCTCCTCCTCCTCCTCCTCCTCCTCCTCCTCCTCCTCCTCCTCCTCCTCCTCCTCCTCCTCTTCCTCATCTTACTAATGTGTCGTCATCAGCCATTTGGGCCAACATGTTCGTATCCATTTAGTACGCAGTGGAGACCATTGATCCGAGGCAGACAAGGCTGTTCAGCCTGGAAGCGTATTCCTTCCTTGACAGATGGTCCGCCCCAGCTTGTCGGTTGCCTCCTGTGCCCACAGGAGAGCAGGACACAACCAAGTGGATGGTGAGTGCGCCATGGCAATGCGAGAGCAGTCCGCGTGCAATTGGTATTCCATGAGCTGCAGGAGTGTGCACACGGGGAAGCAGTGGTGAAAAATGGCGCTCGCAAAGAATGTGTATTTTGCTGGCTGGAGAAAGGAGTGACGTCCGTGGCGAATGTGCAACTGACGACGCCATCGACCCGCAAGCCCAGCAGTATCATGCACCCATGGATGGCGGACGCGCCCCCGCACCAGGAGATTCGATCCAGGATCTTTGCGTTGCAGGCAGCGGTCAAAGAACTGCAAGCCGAGAGCAAGCGGGATGGAGCATTTCTACGTGATGCCGTGCATGTTGGTGAGTTGCCCCACGCTGGGGAGGAGATTCGGCTGTACGTGGGCCAGAAGAAGGTCGAGGAACAGCTGGCGTTCGTCTCCAAGTACAGTGGCGAGTCCAAGGCGCGTGAGTACACCGACGACTCGCGTCTGGAGAAGCAGCGTTTGCATGGTTTGCTCCAGTCTTCTCGTTCCATCTACGCTAAGTAGCATACGATACCAAGTCCGCTTAAGACGGCGGAGAAGCGAGCTGATGCATCACGGGAACTGGTCGCGGCGCGCTAGGCGCAGCTCGCGGAGGTGCAGGCAATCTTGGCCAAGCGGGAAATGACCTGGCGCAGCAGGAGAAGGAAGTGGTGCCGTTCAGTGCACATGTTCAGGAACTCGCCCAGTTGGCGCCGCTGGGTCCCGAAACAGCTTCGTTGCGCTAGAAGGGGCAGACCATGCAGGCCGACGTGGAGGCGCTAGGCACCATGCTGCAACAGCAGGGCTTGGGCGATCAGGCTCCTGTCTTGGCAAAAGGCGCTTGCTGCTCGCGGTGCCGACTAAGGAGGCGCCGGGGCAGCTCCTACCGAAGGCGGCTCGAAAGCTGGCAGTGGGGTAGGTGGTGGCCAAAGCTCGGCAACAAGCGCAGCCAACCAGGCTGTCGACTCCGTCAGCATCGACGCAGTCATCGTCCGAGGAGGATCTGCGAACGTCCCTGGATGCACTCTATCCACGTGACCTTGCGCTGCGTGTGTCAAGAGACCTTCTGGGCCCCCGTGCTTTCGCAGGTCGTCTTGCCCCCGTTGCTTTTGTTCAGCAGTGCCAGACAGCGGCTGTCAGTCGTGCAGAACCGCTGTCCGGCGCCACCCGCGACGTGGGCGGGCACTTCCCAGGGGCGGGGGGGGCCTGAAGGGGCCCGCGACAGGGCAGACCTCGAAGGTTCATGTTGCCTATTCACCCCGTGGCGATCTGGCGTGCGCTGGGCAGGTTTCGAGGGCCGCCGCGTAATTGCCCCTCCGATGCTCGGCGCCTCTAGCTTGAATTTTGGGCGCGACGCCCCTCGTTCTAAGGGGGCCCCAGTCGCGGCCCCCCTTAAAATGACAGCCATTCGTCTCTCGAGAGCTACCGCTGCGACGTGGGCGCCAGCTTCCAGGGGCATTTGGCCAGGCGTTGTTGGCAACCGCATAGTTGCTCTTCCGATACGCGGCGCATCTAGCTCGGATTTGGGGTGCGAAGTTCCACGCTCTCAGGAAGCCCGGGTCGCGGCCGCCCCCCTGGAATGTCAGCCACTGGTCTCTCAAAGGCCACCTGTGCGACGTGGGCGCCAGCTTGCAGGAGTGCTTGGTCAGGCGTTGAAGGCGGCCGCGCGATTGCCGATGGGGCTCTTATTTCGGTTGCTGGGTTATGCTTTGCGGGCAGCCGCATAATTGCCGCGTGGTTGCCTTGCTTCGGGGGCGGAGTCAGGAATTGAGGGCATCTGCGTACTGGCCCACGGGAGTCGTGCTCCATGGACAGGCCCAGGCTTGGCATTGGGAGCAACCGCGCAATTTCCCCATGTGATGGCTGTGTGTCTGGAGTCTGGAGATGGCCTCGTTTGTGGAGGCCCGAGCTTTGGGGTATCCATTGACGCGGCAGCTGGCCGCGTCATGCAGAATGCCGATGGCCATGTAGGCGTTCGGGTGGGTCTCGTGTTGGGGGATGTTGGCAGGGCATTATGCCCGGCTGTTCCCGCGCCGCGACGTCGCCCGCTGCGCTCGTGATCCGAACGCGCGCCAGTGCCCGGAGGCTGCGCCCAACGGTCTCCCCCAGAGCCTTCGTCGAAGAAGGCGCGCTGCAGTGGGCGGGCCAGGGCGTCGGCGAAGTTGCCGAAGCCAAGTCTGGCATAAGAAGGTTGGGCCTGCCGGTTCAGACAAGTCTCTCCCGTGGGCACGCGTGCTGAGGTTTTCGCTGGGGAGGCAGATGGGGAACCTCGGTGGCGACGTGGCCGGAGGGGGAGGTCACTCGCGCGGTGGCGAAGGCTAGATTGGCCAAGCTAGGTGCTCGGATGGGTCGTGCAGTGCTGTCGCAGAAGGCGGCGGGCGCCAAGATTTGTGCACTGTGGAGAGCGGGGCTGCTTGCGGCAGCAGCCGTAGCCGGCAGCTCAGCGCCTGGCGAGCCTGATTGCGATCTTTCGAGGTTGGCGCGAACAGCTGGGCCGTTGGCGGGGGTGCGCGCGACAGGAGCGGCCGCCGCATCGCGCCTTGCTGCGCGGGTGGGCCCGATTCCCGACGCGACGCCCAACGTCTTGACCTCTCATGCAGCGTTCGTCTTTGGGCAGCGCGTTGACGTAACAGCGCAAAGATCGCAGGTCGATTGGCGGCTTGGGTCACATGTTGCATGCTTGCCCGTATATGTTGGAGCAGGATGACGCGCGAGCGCCACCTGCTTTGTCTGTAGAGTTGGAACGGAGGGGAGATTCATATTTAGTGATGAGGCCGTGTGTGTTCTAGAGAATCACATGTTCCGTCTGGGGTTTAAGGCTGGGTTCTTCCAGGCCCGTAATTCCCCCCGTGCCCTCTTCTTGTTCTCCTTGCCCCCTTTTGGGGTGATTGGAGTTCTGCGCCCGCTTCCTTCTTCGGCGGGCCGGGAAGGCGCGCCCCCTGGCCCAGACTCGCGAGGCGCGGGTGGGCCGCCGTCCAGATGGGGCCGGCGAGGCTGCCCGCCCGCGCCTTTTTTGGGCCCTTGCTTGCCCCCTTGCTTGGCCCCGTCCAGTCCGCGGGCCGCACGGCAAGATATGGGCTGATGAGGGGGCTTCAGTTGTACCCCATCCCTAGGCCTTGCTGTTTCGGACCTCCCGGGCGCGGTGTTAGCGGGGGCCGAATGGTCGAGCGTGCGCGCGGCGGCCGCGGACGCCCGCGCAGAGATTTGGCGTCGGACTGCGGCGTCAGATGTTGAGCGTTGACCGCGGCCGCCAAGGTTGGAAACCGCCTGTGCTCGAATGGGGGCCAGCGCGCCTTTCGCGGGAGGACTGCCTGCGCAAAGGCGACCAACCCGCGGTCATGCGTGGGCCGATTTTCTCCTCTGAGATAGAGGCTGCATCCCATTGGGTTTCGGATTCAAAGGTTGACTTTGAAGCTGGTAGGCTGCATCTGCTGGTAAAGATGCTTGTTTTTTGTTTCGGATGGGCAGTGGCGCAGTTTGGCGCAGTTGGCTGACCACAAGAATGAGGTGGGGGATCAGCTCAAGGCGCGCCGCGGGGTGCCGGCAGTGACTGGCCCGTCCGTTCGAGCGCTCAATATGTTCAACTTCCAGGAGCATGCTTGTCATGAGTCTGGCCTGCTCATGGCGTGTACGTCGTACCTTGCGAAGGCGCGGAAGGAGTCGGCAAGGGAGCTGCTTGCCCGAGGAAGCGACGGCGCGCGCGGCCCGCCCCCGCTGCAGAGGGGGCGAGCGCGTCAGACGTTTGGCCCTGCTGGGCTGCACTCTGCAGCCGACCCCCTGGCCCAGCTTAAAGACGGGCGCGTCCCTCTACAGGAGGAACGTTCACAAATAGTAGTAAAACAAATGCCGGGGGACGATTTTTGACTACCTTTGAATAGTTTTGGGCACGTGCCAGTTTTTGTTCAAACATTCTGGTTTTTACCCCGAATCCGCTTGCATGGGGGCGCGCCCGACCTAAGGCTAGGCCCGAGACGGTCCAAGTGGCGCTTTCCTGGGCCTCTGAGGTCCTCGGGGCTGCGCGTGGCATTTCGGGTTCGTCTGGGGATGTCGGGCGTCCTGCAGGCGGGCCGCCGTCGGAGCGCGGGGTCTTCCTTGAGGCATGTGAAGGAGAAGGGGCCGGGCCTCCCATCTTTTGCGTCGCCCGTGGCCAATCGTGCCCCCATCGGGCGGGGCCCAGTTTCGGATGATTCGGGTTCTCGCTCGCCTCGGGCAAACCGCCCGCAAGTGTGCGGAATTCTCTCGCGAGAACCCGCGATGGCAAACACCCGAAGTCTGGTGCGCATTTTGTGAGTGGGTCCGTCGGCTCCGGGCATCGGCGCGGCCGTCGTCCGACGCCGCCCCCCGCAGCCCGCGTCTTTCGCCGCCCTGGCGCTGCAGATCCACGGCGGCGTTGCGCGGGGAGGAAGGGCAGGCTCGGCGGGGAGTGGGCGGGGCCTCTG